TACAGTCCCTTTCACCCTAAACCCCAAAGCCACACATGGGGAGCTCTCTAAGTTAAGGTCCCTTTTACCTTTAGGGTTTAGGGTGTAGGGCTTAGGGTTTAGGGTTTAGGGCTTAAGGCTCAGGGTTTAGGGTTAAGGGTTTTGGGATTTAGGGTTTAGGGTTTAGGGGGGTTTAAAAGCTTCTGGGCTTATGGCTTTTAGGCTTTAGGGGTTTTCGACTCTTTATTTATGGGTCTTTGGCTTCAAGGATTTCAGGCTTAGGGCTTTCGGCTTTTGGGCTGCAGGATTTGGGGCACCGCTTGTGGGGAAGGTTGGCTGTACGGTTTAGCGTTTAGGGTTTAGGGTTTAGGGTATAGGGTTTAGGATTTAGGGCTGTACCTAGAAAACCTGCAAGTACTGCGCGTTACTGCCTACTCTAACTTCATCTGGAGACTAACCCGTGCGATTGTCGCTTTAACTACGGTTCGGGTTTGAACGAAGTAGAAGACAATCTCTCTCTAAGGCGACACCCAACCACAAAAAGACCCAAACACACCAAAACCTAAACCCCACGCCCAAAAACCTGGAACCAGAAAACCCACGCCCCAAAAGCCCTGGATAAACCTCAAAGCTCTCTGTTGATCTTCCATTCCACCCCGAGCGTTGCCTCCGACATGCTGGGGCCCAAAATAGTATTGGTAATTATTTAGGCCCCTACCTTCTTTGCCTTGGTTGTAACCCGGCTTACTGTGCCCGCTGATCCTTCCCGTGACTGTGCTACTGGATGCAGCTTTCAGGTATCCTGTTGAACTTCGGCTTTAGGTGTAAGTCAGGGTGTTCGACGGTTTAGGGGCATGGTCTTAAATTGCTAATGCCGGCTTCAGCTTCTTTGGCGTCGTCAATGTCATCAACATAACCATCTTCATCATCACCTAGTTCCTGCATCCACCCTGAGCCATATCCTAGGCCCTAAAGTTTCAGCCCAGCAGAAACTCCTAAAAGCCCTAAACCCGACACAGCACCCAGCTAAGGCCCAACTTCCTCCCCGTTGGGCTTCCCATGCCGAATTTGGGGGTTTCCGAAAATAAGGGGTACCTTATTTTGGGGTCCTGTTAATAGGGGGGGTACTATATTAGGGTCCCCTATTTTCCGAAACCCCCATTTGAGTCCTTCGAGCCTTTAGGGCAAGTTTCACGAAGGTGTGCTTATTCTTGCAATCCAGGAGCACCAGAAACTCAATCTTTCAGGTTCATGTGGAGGCTATATAAACGAACAAAACTTTAAAGTTCACGAACCCCAGCCCAGCTGAATGTAAGTATGTATGTATGTATGCATGCATGTATGTCTGGGTGTATTTATATCTGTGTGTGTGTGTGTCTCTCTCTCTCTGCGCATGATGCTCATGTCTATGCGTATGTGACAATGTAGATGTGTAGATTTGTATGTGGCCATGTGTATTTCTCTCTGCGTGTGTGCGTGTGTGCGTATGTCTCTTTCTGCTTGTGTGTGCTCGTGGCTGTATGTGTGCCTGTATGTACATATTGCAGTCTGCCTGTCTGTGTCTGCCTATTCCGTCTCCGCCTGCCTGCCTGTCTGTCTTTGTTTGTCTGTCTGTCTCTTTGCCTGTCGGTCTCTCTGTCTCACCGTTGCTTCAACAAAGACAGGTCTCACTCAATCCCTCTCTCTGTGTGTCTCTCTCTAGGTATGAATGACACACATAACTTTGTTTATGGGCTTAGATACATTTTGCATACGAACCTACATGCATCCTTGCAGGCGAGAGAAACAGTTCTTCAGATATGGTTTGTGCCTACGTGCACAACTTCCACATCTGCCACTGTTGCCTTTTCTCTGCATTGCACTTGAGTTGCAGCGGCAAGAATGCCAATTCTTTGATGTCGCTGAGGAACTGCGATGTGTACCATGGGGCATTCCCGGCAGCACAGGCAGCTATCAGGAATGCATAAGTGATAACCTGAGAGGTTTGTAGCACTCAAAAACATCTCCACAGGAAACCAAAACATCGAACCCTAAATCTTAAACTTTAAACCGCCGAGATCGATTTCAAGCTGACTTGCAATTGCGTCTTGTTGGAAAAATCCTGCGGATCCTGTACTGTAATGGGTTTCGGAACAGCTTAGGAAAGCATTCCCTCAATGTCCCTGTGATGGAATACCAAAAAAGACTCCATACCCTACTTTAATGATTAAGGTCGTTCTCTATACCCTAAGCCCTAATGCTCTTGAACCGATCGTCTGGAATTTGACTGCGGCCCAAGAGCATCGCCACGTAGGCGAAGTTCGTGTGTATCTGCCAGCACTTGAACCGCTGCTTGCCAATGCTCCCCCAAAGCACCTTGTCTACTGTAGGGGCCTTCATAATTAAAATAGGGTTTTGGGCTCCTCTATAGTATATTAGAATAAGGAACCCTAACAGTAATTTTGCTGAGTAATTCGGCTCCTATATTACGCGGGCTTTAGGGTTTTGGGCCTAGGGTTTGCATCTCTACAGTTTATTCGGCTTTGAGGCTTCATGGCCCAGTGTGATTTCAGCCCGTAAAGCTTTTCCCCAAGCCCCAAGCGCGGCCCAAGCACAGGCACCTACGGCAGAGCTGAAAGTTACGACATCCGCCTGGAGATGTGATTGCTGCAGCCAGCCCAAAAGTGGAAGCGCCCTTTGCCACTGAGAACTTCGTCCGCAGGCGCTGATGATGGCACTGTAGGTGAAAGTGTCCCCCTGCAGAGTCGTAACCTGCAACTGCTGAAACAGATGCAAAGCTTGGCGCCACTCTGCCGCATTCTCACAAGCACCAAGGGCTGCATTCACAGCGAACAAGGTCGTCGGCACCTCGGGGATAGTTTGGTAGTTTAGGGATATAGGTTACAGGGCTTGGGGTGTTAGGGTTCAGGGCCCCGGCCCAACTTCCTCCCAAAGCCCGTCCCAGGCGAGTTCGATGACTTTCTGCTGATTGTTTATACACTGTCTTAATGATGGTTTGCCCATGATTTCTGAGGCTTCCCAAGAAGACGACTGTCGGGCTGTCCCGGAACCTCTCTCCGAGCCCGTCCCAGCCAGTTCGATGCTTTTTGATGAGTTTCGACGGCTTTTTGTTCCGATTACGCATTGTGGAGTTTCCTGGAACCTCGTTCGATGAGTGTTTGCAGGGTTTTTCGATTGATAGCAATAAGGACGATGACAAAACCATGTGCCAAAAATTATGTTATGTTTCTTTGACAGACTAATTTGTGCAGGCTATGGCAGTCTGTCCACGCAAGAACCGTATACTGCTACTACCACTACTACTACTCCTCCGCCCTGCTCCTGCTCCTGCTGTTGCTGCTTGCACTTCTTACTACTACTCCTACTCCTACTCCTACTCCTACTCCTACTCCTACTCCTACTCCTACTCCTACTCCTACTCCTACTCCTACTCCTACTACTACTACTACTACTACTACTACTGCCACTCCCACTACCACTATTATACCACTACCACTACCACTGCCGCTGCAACTACCGATACCGCTACCACTACCACTACCGCTACCGCTACCACTACCACTACCACTACCACTGCCACTACTACTACCACTACTACTACTCCTCCTACTACTACTACCTGAGTAACGACCACTTGTGAGTTTGCTTTTTCGAAGCCTGATGAAGATAGTCTTGATGACTGTAGACTGACTGTGATACCGACAATACCGCACAGCCGAGTTCGCTACGTCTTGAGCAGGAAGCTCTGCCAGCAAGCCCAAAGCTCGCTCCCACTGTTCCTGATTCGTGACAGAGACGAACATCTCAGTTCTGAAAATGCTGATTCATAACAACCCGCAAGCTCCCCAACCCTTGAAACCTAAAACTGCAAAGCTCGGGTACTGGAAAGCTAGGGATCTGCCCGTCCACATGCACGCATCGACGTTTCCATCGTCGTTGCATCGCAGTCGACTGCATCCGAACGAAGAAAGCCGAGGAGGAGCAAGGCCTGCTGCCACTCTGCAGCAGCTTCACAGGCCGCCAAGGCAGCCTTACTGAAAGGCTCAGGAGACTTAACAATCGCGACTATCAATATGTTAAACATATACATACATATATATATATATACATATATATATATACACATGTATATTATATTATGACCACGTATAACCCCTAAGTGTTCGCCTTAACTGACTTACCTGGTAGTTGACTCATCGCTACCGGTGAACCCCCATTAAACCGCTACTAGTACAGACCGCCCAATAAAGCCTTTTAGCAGCATCCCGCGCTTGGAGATACTTCCACGCGGTCAATTGAGTTTGCGTGCGTAAGGTCTAAGGTTAAGGATTGCAGGTATACTATACTGACATTGGCATTGAAAACAACATCAGTGCCACAGCGATCCCTAAACCCTAAACCCT